ATCTGCCATCCCATAATTAGGCCGGCGGCCCTCTGCTATGCAGATGACGTTCTCCATGGAAAAGGCACCACAAGCATTAGTAAGTCCCCGCTGAAACGGATCAATGCAAACGCACTCTATGCTGAAATCAAGCAGATATCTTAGCAATCCTCTTCTTACAGCAAGAGCAACTGTGCTGCACGCATTTCCGTCCGGTCAGCCTACTGATAAAGGAATGTTTGCCCCCTTTAAGGCTTCAACTTGCATTGGAAATCCTGGCTGGAGCGCACACAACAGATCCGCAAGTCCACATACAAAACGCATATCGAATGTTGCCCGCCCCGTTTGAGGGAAACCTCCTTACAGTTGAAGAGAAAAATATAACCTTACCTCCGGCACATGGGGAGAGGCTTCGTACGGAGGGGGAGGCCCATCTGAGCAATACAGATAAAAGAACACACAAGCAAGAGTCTACACATAGCGTACAACAAGCCTGAGAAGGTATAGATAGCGTTCCCATGCCAAACAGGTGCTACAGCGTTAGCGGCAAGCCCTGAAAGTACTGTCAGGTGCCACCGATCATTGTGGCATTGTTCTCCAGCGTAAGGCGGACCATACCATCTGGATCGTGTAGCTGACGCGCAATTTCCTTCATGAACTCTAAGATCGGTTCGTAGAAAGATGGCTGGCGAGGAAGGCTATCTACAACAGATACGCGATGTTCCCTAGGCCCCACACAAAGAAAGGAGGCAACGAAAATCAGCTGCCCCACAAGCCGCATGTGAACTCTAAGATCGGTTCGTAGAAAGATGGCTGGCGAGGAAGGCTATCTACAACAGATACGCGATGTTCCCTAGGCCCCACACAAAGAAAGGAGGCAACGAAAATCAGCTGCCCCACAAGCCGCATGGACACTGAATTCGATATTCTAGAGGCCATCTCCAGAGCGAAAACATGCATGAATAAATAGAGTACTTGCAGCATAGCTGCAGGCTGGCGAAAATTAGAAAGTGCAACTCCCCCGGCGATCTCCCCTCCATAAGCAAGGACTACGCTTAAAAAGATTGAATGGCTGTGTGCAACCTAACAAGGTACAGGATGTTAAGGGTTTAAAAGGAAAACACCGTGTGCTCACTTTCGATCGATGACACCAACGATAAAATGCCCAGTGTGGCTCTTGCCCGTTGAGCCATCCAATTCCCGCAAAGGCGCTGACATGGCAAAAACCACCCTGTCAGCCACTAGAGCTCGTTTGACGCTTTCCTGAAAACACCATACCAAACAGAAAACAAAGCTGCTGCTCTCCTTCTCCCACACAAAAACACTAAAGGGCCCATTGGCGCTGGAAGTGGGCACACGCCTTCGAGATACAGCGAGAATGGGCAGAGTCATGCCGGGGGATCCCCAGCGATCTGTACCACCGGATGAGCACAGGCTGCTCAGTGAAACGGCTTACTGGGTTCACTTCTTGCACCCGATTGTCCGTCGCAAACAACTGCCAAGCAATGGAGATTTCCGATGGATTAAGCAAGGCGACAGCAGGTTGTCTGTACAAGCGAAAAGTAAAAGGGGAGGCATTCTTCACCACTCAATTTGCGCATTTGGCTTATTTGCATGCCCTGAACCTTCACAACTTCACTGTGCTTTTCTGCATGCCGTCAATATCCGCGTGGCTAGCATAAAAGACCCTGTGGGTAGCTCCCAGTCGACGCAACACCCTACGGCAATAAGCCCTGGTCACGATGCAAGCTGCGCAACTGGTCTGCCGTGCTCTACAAGGGCATTCAAGTGCTAAGGATTAACTCACAACCCTCGGGCGACCCGCTCGTCAATATGCTCCTGCACGAAATGGGAAAAAGCCCTCTCAAACCAGTGTGAGTGACTTGTCATAGGGCCTACTGAATACAAAGTCTAGGCTGATGCTGGTTTCCAGGCTCGACAGGCTCTGCAATAAGACTGCCACGTACAGTGACCATATTTGTGTATATTTGCAGCATCGTCACATCAAGCCACTCCCCAGTTAAGAAGTCAACAAGCATTCTCCTGAGGCAGCACGCACCCAGCCACAATGCACGCCAACAGTACATGTCTGTGCGGCCATTTGCGGCCATTTACCAAACTCTGCCCTATTTTTCTGGCCCCAGCCTACTGGGCATTATGTCAGAGAATGCGTCCCTCTAGGTATTATCATGCCTACTGTGTACGCTAGGCGATTCGAGCTTCTCCCATAGCCCTTTCAAATTGAGACAAGCGAAACAGCTGCAGCGATGCCAAGAAGGCCGTACCCATATACTTGTGCTGATTAGCTTACCTGGGAACATAAAAGCCTTGGACAGTGACTAGATCCTCAGGAGGACCTCGGAGGATCCCAACATAAGCTGCATGTATTCCAACACAACAGTCCGGAACAAATCGACCAGCCGCGACTGGATTCGTAGAATCTACCTTCCCGTAGAGATACCAAATGAGGATCGTAACTTACGTGCCAAGTCATCCGCGCTCAGTGAAAAAGGTTTCTCGAACATTGGCTCCGCGAGGCACGAGAGGAGCGTTGGAACAGCCTGACAGTACCACCCAACCCAGCGGAGCTTCACATCCGAGATAGCTTATAATCCCCATAAAACCAAGTGGAAACCCCACCTACTGTCTCGGCTCACAACCCTTGTGCCGCCCCCCCCCAAGCACTGCGGGTTTGGGACAGCGAAGACCTACGGATTCTTCCGGCTTCTCTTCCACAGTAGCTGGAGGTTTTACGTCCGACTGCTCTGCAGCACCACCCAATTGCCCTGCTTCTTGCTGGGCCATGTCGTCTTTTGGCTCCTCCTCGGATTCATCTTGGGCTACCGGTGCCACGGGAGCCTGCTGCTGTGGCAGCGTACCTTCCAGCACAGGAAAACCTCCTGAATCCGCTGGAGGAACGTCCTCATATCCCTCCTCACTGTCAGATTCTTCTTGCGCGCCCGTCTCAGCCGTATGGACTACCTCCACCTGCCCTTGTGCTTCCTGTACTGGAGAAGGGCTTACACCCCATGAAGGTTCTGCCTCCCCGCTGGCGTCCGCAGGTTCGGCTTGAGGACCGCTTTCTGGCAAGCGTACCTCCTGCTTCCCTGGTTGGTTGTCTTCTAAAGCAGCAACTTCAGCCGTATGACGGGGATCCTTTGAGCCCTGTACTTCTGGAGAGGCAGGCACATCATCATCATCACTGACCTCTTCCAATTCCTCCTCTGACTCCGAAAAATCTTCCTCTTCGTCAGCAGGAAGCTCAGGCAAAGAAGATCCCTCCGCAGGTGCCTCTTGCCCGGGCTTTGGTTCTTCGGGCTTAGAAACATCTAAGGCCAAAATGGGCACAAGTGTGCAACCCCGCGAACTATCAGCACTACTGGGACGCAGCAGTACCGCTAACAAACAGCCTCTAAGGTACATTCGTGCATTCTAAGGCTGCTCTAGTTGTAATAACCTGCACTCACCATGACTTGGTGGCGTTAATTCACCAGGCTTTGAGGGCTGTGGGAGCTCGCTCCTTCCCAGCTGGACATGCGCAATGAGAGCACCCACGACAAATATGACCAGCAGGGCATTCAACAGCGCGCCCTTCAACTTTGAAGATCCCTTTGCATACTCCGACGTGCGGGTGATCGTTGAGGTGTCGTTTGAAGATGCTTCGGATTCAGTGGCCTCCGTCGGTGACTCCTCCACGCCACCCTCCGCTTCGGCCACCAGTGGCAACTCTTCCCCAGCCATTCTGTCTATGTTCTGACACTCAGACAGCTTCGCCAGGGGTGTGTGGGCCGGGAGGCGTGGCGTTGCTGCAACTGCTACTACGCGGAGGGGAAAAGCTGTACAGAAATCACAACAGTCGCGGCATCGAGCCAACAGACAGATACCTGGATTCTAGCCGCGCTGCAAAGAAAAAAAGGAAATGATGAGCACTCCCGCCCCTTATTTGCTTAGCTGCTACTGCAGCAAATGTAGAAACAGAGACGAGAGCAGCCGTTTCCACTCAATTCCTTGCTTTTCAAGTTGCTGAGCAAGCCCGCAGTCACAGTGAATACGCGCTGCCATGTGAACAAATGCTGTTCCGCCGCCGTAGTGGTGCAGAATGTGCCAGGGCTTCACAACGGAAGGCAACGAAACAAGACAATCCGTGCCTTTTGTGGCACAATGAAGCCAAATGCCGTCATGGAGGGGCGGCATTCCCCAAAGCTGAAGACGAAGGAGTTAGAACCATGGCACATAAAGGTACCAAAACTCCCTCAGCATAACTGTATATAAAAATTATACAACGTTGTGCAGATAGATCTTAGTTGCTTGCCCTCATGCAATCGACCAAAAGAGCCCTGGCTTCCGTTCCCGCCAAACGGGTCAACAGATCGACGCAAAAGCACCCGTAGGCCCTGAGCTAGCAGCTAAGATTAGTGCTTTAAAACGTAATGGAAGCGTAATATATTGATGCGCCCATGGTTGCTACTACAGCCTGCACATTATTTCGGCTGCAAACATTGGCTTTCCCGGTGATGCTCAGTGCTGGATACTGGTGGACCCCAAAAGGCGAGGGACCGAACGGGAACGGATTCTTACTGCAAACGTGTCAAGCTATGCCTATTCTCCACAGTATATTACTTGAGTGACAGTATTGGGATATTTTTCGGCTAACAGCGATAACTGTGCGTATTTCCGTAACTAACTGGTAACTATGCGTATTTCCGTACCTCCTGACTATTTCTGTGGCGCACC